TTTAGACCAAATAAAATATATTTAAACCAAAATAAAATTTATTTAGACTGAATAAAATTTATTTAAATCGAATAAAATTTATTTAGATCAAATAAAATTTATTTGAAACAAATAAATATTTATTTGGCTCTGAGATAAATTTATTATTTCTCTGGATGCAGTTGATCTTACCAGAAATTAACTAAAATTATCTAACCAGAACTGTCTAGTCTTATCTACTTTCTCTTGTTAAAAGAACTGGAATTTTTATAATATTTTACTAGATACATCTAGTAAATTCAATCAGAACTTTTTTTTATTGGTGTTTTATATTTTTATGGTTCGTATCCATTGTTCACAAATCTATATTTGTCCCTTTTCCATATATAGAAATGGTGCGCACTTTTCTTCATTTTTCTCCATCTATATATACACTCAGAGAAAAGATTTTTTTTTTGAAACAAATATATACAACTTTTTTGGATTAACAACAATATTTTTGTTTATTTCAAAGAGAATTTATTTGTTTTAAATAAAATTTGTATGATTCAAATAAAATCTGTTTGAATTCAAATGAATATTTGGTTTATTTCAAACAAATTTTTCGAACAAAGAAAGAATTTGATTGAAACATATAAACTTTTGGTTTGTTTAACTGTATTTTTATATATTTGTTACTGTATATATTTATTTGGTTGATTCAACAAAAATTTATAGTTGTTTCAAACAAAATTCTGATATTTCAAACAAAATTCGGTTGTTTCAAATAAAATTTGGTTATTTAAAAAAAAACATTTAGTTGTTTCAAACAAAATTTAGTAATTTAAAAAAATATTTGGTTATTTAAAAAAAAAACATTTGGTTGTTTAAAACAAAATTTAGTAATTTAAAAAAATATTTGGTTGTTTCAAACAATATTTATTTGTTTCATGCAAAATTTGATTGTTTCAAACAAAATTTGGTTTTTTAAAAAAACGTTTGGTTGTTTCAAACAAACTTTTTTCTGACTGTATAAGTATATAATTGGATAGAGAAAAAAAAGTTATCTGATTTAAATAATCGGTTACTTGACTCAAATAAATATTTACATTAAAAAATTTTTTATTTGAATCAATTAAATCGTATTAGTTTCAAATATTATTATTGTGCCAAATCCAGAAATTATTATGCCTTCATTTAATTCAAATAAAAATTATTTTGTTCAACTAAATATTTATTTGATAATAGTAAAATAATCGATTATTTGAATCAAATAAATATTTAGTTGAACCAAATAATTTTTATTTGAATCAATTAAATCGTATTAGTTTCAAATATTATTATTGTACCAAATCCATAAATAATTGTGCCTTCATTTAATTCAAATAAAAATTATTTTGTTCAACTAAATATTTATTTGATAGTAGTAAAATAATCGATTATTTGAATCAAATAAATATTTAGTTGAACCAAATAATTTTTATTTGAATCAATTAAATCGTATTAGTTTCAAATATTATTATTGTACCAAATCCAGAAATTATTGTGCCTTCATTTAATTCAAATAAAAATTATTTGGTTCAACTAAATATTTATTTGATATAATAGTCAAATAATCGATTATTTGAATCAAATAAATTTTTTTTTTAATATCCATATTTTTATATCGTGTATCAATTTCGTATCCATATTCAATATTTGTCAATGTAATATGAATGTAACATCCTTGTACGGATGTAAACTTGGAAGAAAGCAGATGAAGACGAGTTCAAGTGCCATTCAAACATTTCTATTTTCGATTGTCTATACTATAGAAATGGATCCTTTGGTGTATATAAATATATAGTTAGAAATTTTCCAAAGTGTATGTGTGAGCTCGGTATAAAATGGAATTTGGTAAAAAGTTGAACGCTTGATGGAGGTTGAAACGTGTGTATCGTCTTTGTTGCAGCGTTTATATACTCTCGAAGATGACCCCGAGCATACGTGGCATTCTGTCTCCTGGTGAGTATGTGGGTCGAGAAATGCCGCACTCGCTAAATATATCTACAATGCAATGCAAACGTGAATTGTGAACGCACGAGGACCGGTGGTGTATATGTTGTTCACTAACCGGTCGTCGTCGTCGTTGTCGTAGTCGAAACATTTCTCGCTCCTTCCAGGAGAAGCCTTATATATATATTTATATACATCTTCCCATTTGGATTCGCCTGCATATTCGCCTGGAAGCGAATCGACAAATCGATTTGTCAATCTGTCACTGCTATCGAGTTCCTTAGTTGCTTTGGAACGAGGCCTTGTGTATTTACCGGACTTTATATTGTTGTAAGGTTGCCTCTCAGGTTCGTCTTGAAAATCAAAACCCCTAGTCGTGAGGAACTCGAAAATAAATTGTTCATTCTCCTTCCTTCTATTGAAACCTTAGACGCAAAGACGAAGGCAATCTTTATCGCAAAAAATAAATGTGAACTTCTTTTCCATTTTTTTTTTTTTTTTTTTTTTTTTTTAACTTTTCCGAGATTTTCTCGATATATTTGGGTATAAGTATTGTAGCAATTTTTTTTGAATTTTTCTCTGAAAATTATTTTCAATTATCTTTCACTGAAAAAAAATTCTAGTTAGATTAACCAGAATTCTAGTTAGAATAACCAGAATTCTGGTTAGGGTATATTTAACATTTTGATTCTGGTTAGGTTAACCAGAATTCTGGTTATTTTAACGAGAATTCTAGTTAATTCAACTAGAATTCTGGTTAACATAACTAGAAAGTAATGTTAAATGTAGCCTAACCAGAATTTTTTTTTCAGTGTTTATTTGGAATGAGATTTGATAGAGAAAAAAATTTGATTTTATTTAAATAATAATAATTATTTATTCAAATAAATAATAGATGTAATAAATATTTTTCTATAATAATTTTTAAAAATAAATAATTGAAGTGTATTTGGACCAAAAAAATTTTTCTATTTTGACACAAATACTATTTCAAATAATAATTATTTGAATAAATACACAGAAAATTAAAAGGCATTAAAATAAGCTGCAACGCTTATTATTTTATTTTTAATCCAATTTTGCTTATTTTTTAATCCATTTTGGTATTAAAATAAGCAAAATTGGATTAAAATAATAAGCGTTGCAACTTATTTTAATTCCTTTTAATTTTCTGTGTATTTATTTGATAATAGTCAGGTAATCGATTATTTGAATCAAATAATTTTTTCTTTCAGTATATTGAACGCAAAAAAGAGCTTTTATTACTTAAAAGAAAGAGAAATTTAATATTTACAATAATAAAAGGATTATTTTTTATATTATTATTATTTTATTATTATTATTATTATTATTATTATTCTTATTATTATTATTATAGTATTATTATCTTTAGTTTTATATTTATTAATAAAAAGGGTTTTTGACAAAAAACAAATTATTAATATAATGAAATTATTAACTTTTATTTTTTTTTTATAATTGAAAAATATACCAAAATTAATTGCTAATTTTTCTTCTGTTTTTTTTTTCAGGTGAGTTTTCAGATGCAATTTTTCTACTTTAAGAATCGCGCAGATTTTGTGAGTAATTTTATACAAAATATATATATATTTTTTATGATAAAAAGAAAATCTTATTTTAAGATAGAATAATTTAATAATTATAATAAAAATTAGAAAATTAAATAATAAATAATAATTAGTAATTAAATAATTAATTAAAAATATTGAAACCTTAAGTAAAACTCATTTCTTTATTTTTAAAATAAGATTTTCATTTTAGAATTTTTTTTATTATTGTAGAATAATTTCTTTTTTTTATACTTTACTACACAAAAAAGAGGAAATTAAATTTTTTTTATTCTATATCTTTAAATATAAACGCTGCGTAAAAATTGCAGTTCCCCTTTCTTCACTTCGATGTTTTTCGATCATTATATATTCAATGACGTATCGAGTTCTAGTAATGTGTCGCTTTTTTTCTGAAAGTTTTACGAAAGTATGAATATTATGAAAATTTCTATATATATATATATATATATATATATTTGAGTAGCATCAGTACGCCAATTTTTTTTTAAATTAAAAAAAAAAAAGAAAATAAACGTTGACTCCAATTGAGTGAACGATTCTATCGACATGCAAAGTGAAAGGCGCAAGCAAGTCCACCAAGTTAGGTTGAAATAAAAAAAAAATCGAGATAAACAAGAAGAAGAGAAGGGGAAATAAGAGACTGGACTGAATATAATTATTGTATATATGCATTAATATATATTATTTTAAAATCTTCAACTCATATATATATATATAATATATATTTGAAGCTAGTTTCCCATTTTGCAGTTAACATAATTATAAATTCTTAATAACGATATAAATTTAATGCGCAATTATAAAGAAATTTTTTCAGGAGATAAGAATTTTATTTTTTAAATTTATTTTGTTTATTTATTTATTTTCTTAAATTTTATTTCCTTTTTTAAAATAAATTTTTTTTTGCTCCCTTTTTTACATCCAGAAAAATGTTTTATTTGAACCAAATATATAATATATTTGAGTTAAATAAATGTATATTTGTCTCATAGCCTACTAGACCATTTATTTGGCGTAAATAAATTTTTTTTTTTATTTAAATCAAATAAAAATTTATTTGAATCTAATATAAATTCATTTGAACAATAAAAAATTCATTTGAATAATAAAAAATTTATTTGAAACAACTAAATATTTATTAGGCTGAGACAAATATATAATTTTTCTGAATGTATATATTTTGAAAAATTTATTCCTTTCAATAAGTAAAAAAATTTAATAATATTGTATAAATTTTTTTTTTTTATTTGCTCTTTAAAACAATTAAGTAATCTGTGTGTGGTATACCACATGCATTGTCACGTTTGTCGATTGTCTATTATTATCAACATTTCCCTATAGTCAGACCACAAACGTAAACGATATGACTTTTTTTTTTTTATTTCTTGTATAAAGATATATATTAAGATACTGTAATCACCTTCTTTTTAAAAGTCTATAAATTATATCCTCCGACACAATTTTCAACTTTTATTTTTATTTCTTTTTTATTTACAATAAAAAAATAATTATCATTTTAAAAATTTATGTAAAAAAAAGTAATTTTTATTTTAAAAATATTTGACGCTTTTGATTGATTTAGCAATATTTAGTTGCAATTTTTTTTTAATGACTTTTTTTTATCATTGATATTGAAATTAAGTCTAATTTGTTATTGGGAATGGAGCATGTTGCGCCGCACAGCGCCGACAATATCGAAATGGAGTCAATAAAAGAGTACACATACACGTAAAATTACAAACACATATGTATGTATATCTATGTGGAAGAGACGAGTTCTTATTATATCGGATGCGATCGTTCAAGACAAGAACCACGGAGTCAGAAACCATTCCAAACGGAGATTCAAGTAAAAATTGTGTTGCTGGGCTATACCATATATATATAGCAATATCTAATCCTCCCTTTTGCTTTGGTAGTTCACCCTCAGCAGGAAATCAATAGAGCCGCAGTACTGGTCAATGAGAAGCCTGTACTGGGTGAGAGATGACGACATTTCTCTCTCTCTCTCTCTCTTCCTCTCTTCATCTTTCGCCACTTCTGAAGGTCCTCTCTCATCCTGTGTGTGTATCTTCTGTTGATATCCAACACATTCGTCCCTCTTTTTTTTTTTTTTTTTAAATACTCTTCTTTCTCCACTTAATTATCCAATATTTCCGAAACATCAATTAGCACCCTCTCTCGAATGCTAAAAAAAAATACAATTTTCATTCAGAAACAATTTTAGGACTCTATTCGAAAATTAGAACGTTTTTTATAATTTTAAAAATGACAAATACATTTTCATTCTGTTTAAGCTTGGATAGTATCTTTATAGACGATCTTTTCGCCCTCTTTTTGGAAAAATAGTCTGGTAATTTTTATTTGAAAAAAAAATTTAACACTATACAAACACTGATTTTTTCTCTAAATTTGAATTAGTTGAAAGTGACTATTAGTAAAAATCGTGGCTTACTTTTTATTTCCAAAATTAGTGAAAGATAATTAATTATTAGTAAAAATAACTAATTATTGGAAGAATAAAAAATTTACTAAATTATTAGTCAAATTTACTGTCTAGTAAAATTTAAGTAATTTAATAAGTGAAAAAAATTATTTTACTATCGAATTAGTAAGATTTAACTAACAGTAAACAATTTTTTTTTACTATTGAATTAGTAAAATTTAATTAATTAAAAAGTCAGTTACCTAATTAGAATTAAATAAAAGTAAATAATTATTAGTGAAATCATGGCTCACTTTTTGTTTCCAAAATTAGTGAAAAATAACTAATTATTAGAAAAAAAAAAAATAAAAAAAATTTACTAAATTATTAGTAAAAATAATCAATTATTAGAAAAAAATAAAAAATTTATCAAATTATTAGTAAAAATAACTAATTAATAAAAAAAAATTTACTTAATTATTAGTAAAAATAACTAATTATTAGAAGAAATTTATTACTAAATTATTAGTAAATAGTAATAATAATAATAATAATAAGCAATAAAAAATATTTAAATTTAACTAATTAATAGTAAAAAAAAATTTTTACTGTGGAATTAATAAAATTTAAGTAATAAATAGTAAAAAAAAATTATTATCGAATTAATAAAATTTAACTAATAGGAAACAATTTTTTTTTACTATTGAATTAGTAAAATTTAATTAAGTCAAAAACAAAAAATCAGTCACTAATTAAAATTAAATGAAAGTAAATAATTATTAGCAAAATCATGGCTCACTTTTTATTTCAGAAATTAGTGAAAAATAACTAATTATTAGTCAAAAAAAATAACTAATTCGAAAGCAAAAATCAAACACTGATTCAAATATTAATATTTCTTCTGATCATTTAGTTAAAAAATTATTAATTATTAGTTAAATTAATTTTCAGGTTATGTAAAAATAACTGAAATTTTTGTTTAATTATTAATTAATTCAATTAGTTAAATTTGACTATTTTTTAATTTAGTTTTTGACTAATAATTACCTATTTATTTTTTTGACTAATATTTTTTATTTTTCACTAATTGCGAAAGTAAAAATTAAGTCATGATTTTACTAATATAATTAGTCACTTTTAACTAATTAAAAATTGAAGATTATATTCTGAATTAAAATCAGTAAAAATTTCAACTAATTTGAATTAATGACTCATTTTTTGCTTTTGGATTAAAAAAAATTAAACTTAATAATAAAAAAAAAAAATTTACTATTAATAAATTTTAGTTATTTTTGTTAATTTTACACTGAAAAAAAATTTATTTGATTCAAATACCGGTGTATTTGGTTATTATCAAATAAATATTTACTTGAATCAAATATTTCTTATTTGAATCAAATAAATTGTATTTGCTTCAAATACTGAAATATTTGATTCAAATACTATATATTTGATTCAAATAAGAAATATTTGATTCAAATAAATATTTATTTGATAATAACCAAATACACCGGTATTTGAATTAAATAATTTTTTTTTTCAATGTAGTAAAATTTATCTAATTCAAAAGCAAAAAATGAGTCATTAATTTAAATTAGTTACAAAAATTTACTACACTCAGAAAAAAATTTGTTTGAATAAACTAAATTATATCAACCAAATAAATGCATTGCTATAACAATTAACCAAATTCTTGTTTGAATCAAACCAAATGTTTTATTTCTCTCAAATAAATACTTTCATTGTTCGAAAAATTAATTACAATTAACAAAACGTTCATTTAAATCAAATAAATATCTATTTAAATCGAACAAATTTTGTTTAAAATAATTATAAAAATTATATCTTACAAAAAAATAATATATTTGTTTCAAATAAAATTTTTCTCTGAATTGTAATTCAAATTTAGAGAGTACTGAATTAAACAGTAATAGTTTACTAAAAAAAAATTAAATTAAAATTTCTAATTTCAATTTTCATCACTTTCTCTATTAGAAAAAAAAAAAATAATTCTCCACAACAATCAATTGTAATAGGTGATAATTGTTTTGTTAAATCATTTGTTGAGCAATAGTTTATGATTCATTACTAATAAAGCTCATGCAAACTGTGTATATATTTTCTAATGATTGATGATGTTTCTTTGTCTCTCTTGTTGAAAGTGTCCTCTTGACATGCAACGTCCTTGCATCACCCACACGTACACATGTTTATTTATTGTCTAAAAAAATGTGTACTCTCTTTTTGAGAGAGATAAAAAAAATCGCTACAAGAAGAGTGTATTTTTTTTTTTGTTTTTGATTGCATTTTTTGAAAACCCCAGAGGGGGGAATAATAGTATCTTTTCTTATGCACTATATTTGAGGTGGGTGTTGTAGGTCTATATATTCTGCATGTAATCCCCAAGTTTCTACGTCATCGGTGCGTGGTTTCTTGCGCCTGCGTGACGTTGCAGAAGTCATGCGTCACTAGTGACGTGTGTCGTGTGAACACCCGATGCAATGTTAGGTTACATTGATGAAAACTTGTTGCACATCGTATATACATTCACGTAATGAACGCAATTTTTTTTTTCCCACTACATCCCCATTGTAGTCATTTCTTTTTTTTCATTCATAATCCTTTTTTTAAACATCTACATTTTTTTTGGTACTTTTGTAATTTTTTTTCTTCGTTAATTATTTTTCTCATTTTTATCAAAAAATTTTTTGTAGTTTTGGTTTTTAGTTATTCAGACTTCCTTATCAGCTTTTTCTTCTTTTTTTTTTTGAAGTTATAACATGTATCGGGAATATTCAACATAACAGGAAAACTTGAGATTCCAGATGTTAGTAGTTATCAGCACTTAAAGTTACTTTCACTTGAAGTAAATCATGTTAAACTTCAGGATAATTTTATACATTGCTCATAAATAACTTATATGTTTAAAATGTCATTAAAGTACACGAAAAATTTTTTATTTGCAAAAAAACAATTTTCTACGCTTAGAAATGGTGTAAAATTTAATTTTTAATTATGTGCCTTTTTTTTATTTAAAACTCGGAAATTATTTTATTTTTTTATTTTCTTTATAGAAATAATAATTCTTCACAAAGAAATAAATTCAAAAGTATATGCAAAATCTTTCTATTAATAAATCATTACAATATTTACGAGAGACAACTTTCACGATTGAATAATTAAGTTAAAGGAATATGGATCAGACTTGCTTTTTTCTTTTCTTTTGAAAAAAAAAAAAAAAAAAAATGTTGAGGAGAGTCTATTTTGAACACACCCTCGGAAAGTATTTCATAGTGATTGTTGCAAGAGAAACCCATAATTTTCTTCAATCTTTAGGATCATATAGCCTAGATTCATTCGATTCTCACTTTTTTTTTTTCTCTCTTTCTGATCGAGAACACTTTGCGTAAGTTGAGACAACGTTATCTAAACATTGTGACCTGTTTAAATGAATATTTTTCCTAGGTAGATTATTTAAATGGAATTCAAGTGCTGACGGATAAAAGAGAAGAAAACGAAAAACTTTATTGAAAATAGATTTTAATTGCTTGTCAATAAAAATTATATTATATATTTCCTTTGCAGAAATATTTTTCGTTTTCTTGCCGTATTCCTGTTAAACCTGAAATAAATTAATTTTACTATTACATAATTAGTTAATTAATTCGTTAATTATTTAATTAATTAGTTAATTATTTCATTAATTATAATAAAATTTTTTCAGTTCGGTTACATTTTCAATATAGTTAAAATTTTGAAAGTAAAAAAAAATAATAAAAACAGTTCTGTAATTCAATTGTCGCTTTAAAGGAAAACAGTTTATGACTTTGCGGATAGAAACTTTAACGATAATAACCCTATCGTTTACATACCATAATCATTAACATAAACTTCAATAATGTTGATTCCCCTTCTTTGATCAAATTATACTCGGAAGTCAACCAGTGTGGGATAGCTATAGGACAACCTGGCTAGCTCCCAGAGAAAAAGACTGGTTTCTATAATAGTAACGGTGCCGAATTAATAAAAAAAAAAAAAGGAAAAAAAATTATATGTGTAAAATAATAATAATATATGTTAAAACTTGTAAGAAAATAATATTCTGAGCCTTAAAAAATATAATAAGAATCCTGAAACATAAAATAAGATATTAAAATTACTTGAATTTAAGAATTATAAATTTTTTGATTCAAATAATCGGTTGAGTTATCAAAATATTTATTTTTATTAAATATTATTTTAGTTAAGTCAATAATATTTGTTTCAAATACAGAAATTATTGGCCCAAATATAATTTATTTAATTCAAATAAAAATTTGGTTCAAATAAAAGTTTGGTTCAAATAAAATTTTGGTTCAAATAAAAGTTTAGTTCAAATAAAAGTTTAGTTCAAATAAAAAATCTTTGATTCAAGTAAATATTTATTTGATAATAGTCAAGTTTATTTGCAAATAAACTTTGTTTTCTCAGTGTATTAACGTAAAATTTCGTTTTTTGTTTTTTTTGGTAAATTTTTTTGTTTTTTTCCTTTACATTCATAAAGGATCATGAAAGTAATAGTATTGTCTCGACCCACAAGAAACTTGAACGATAAGACTTTATCTCAAGTGCATGCAATGATTGTATATATACGCTCTTTCACTTGAAACTTTTCCCGAGAAGACAAAATTAAGGATCAACTGTATAGTAATTTATTTTAGAAAAAAAAAACAGTTTATAAATTTTCAAATGATTACACTGAAAAAAAGATGATTTATTTGGTTCAAATAATCAATTACTTTGCTATTATATCAAATAAATATTTATTTGTTTGAAATAAATTTTTTTTGGTCTAAATATATTTTATTTCATTTAAATAAAAATTAAATTTGAAATAAATTTTATTTGGTTTTTAAATAAAAATCGTATTTGCACTAAATAAAAATTGTATTTGCGTTAAATAAAATTTTATTTGTGCTAAATTAAATTTGTTATTTAAAACAAAAAGTTATTAGGCTTTGTGACAAATATATTTTTATTTAAGATTCAAATAAATTTTATTTGTCTCAAATAAAATATTTCTCCAGGTGTTCGAACTGAAAAAATGTTATTTTATATTTAATTAAAAATTTATCTATAATGAAATAAAAATTTACCTATAATTAAATTAAAATTCTTCTATAATTAAAATTCATCACTAATTAAATTAAAAATAATTTCTATAGTGCAAATTAATTTATTAAGATATTGAAAATTTTTTTATTTTTTGTAAAAGTAACTCTTATAATGTAGTATATACAATACCGTCCATTGGCAATTTGAGGAGCATCGAGGATTTCCTGTGTGGTATATATATAGGGAATGTAAGAAAGATAGAAAAAGTCAGATAAGACGAAAACCAGAATAGGAAGTTGTTATCGTTATCACTCGTGATGTTATTTTCGGTTTCGAACGAGCAATGAATTGCAAACAATTGCTATCTTCATATATAGGTAATTTGAGAATCTGTGCGCGCGGCCATTTCAGAAGAGAAAGAAAATCGTTTATTCCGGTGACTGACTTTTAATTCGTATCATTTGCATTAAAATCATTGGCTTTAATTCCAGTTATGTTCTTATATATCCTTTACATGAGACAGTTGTATATAACTTACATTCTTGTTACTATTTTAATTAATCAGAATTTGTTTACCTTTTTTCAATTTGCAAAAAAGTTTTCCTCAAAGTAAAACTCGAAATAAAAATTTGATATCATTCAAGATGTCAATAACAATACTTAACCTATTAATAGTTTGGTTAATTTTTTGACAATCGGTCAGGTAGTCAGTAATTAGTGAATTATACTCCAAAGTCTTTTTTGATATAATCAGGAATTAATAAACTGGAAAATGATCAATTCACGATCTATTAACAACAATCAGTAATATATTATTCTAAAATCAATTATCTAAAGCGACGTCGTAATTTTTTTGAACGAAAACAAAGTTAAATTAGTGTCGGTAAGCAAGTTTTGATATTGGATGAGGGATTTAAAAAAAAAAATAGTTTGACAAAAATCCAAGAGATGTCAGCACAAGCGCCACGCGAGTTTTAGCCAATGAAATATGATCCCCTCTCCTCGTGCACCAATGGCGCTTCGATGTTCAGCACACGGACGGTGATGATCGCAATATGGCTTCCGTCACCGCCAGCAAGTGAGAGTTCTTCATCGTGTAGTGAGCATTTAACAATAGACAAAATAATGGATTATTGACGTTTATTTGTGTTCATGTGCAAGTTAATATAACAGTGTATCGTTATAATTGATTATTCTTCTATTTTGTGATTTTCCTTATGAAATAATGGCCGAAGAATCTTAAATGACGAGAATGTGAGTGAGCGCAGATATAGTGATTCTAAAACAAGTGTGACAAAGACAGCAGTATAATATATAAAAGAGGCTGTATGTAGTTTTTTTTTTTTATTATAACAATGATGATCAAGATTATATCTCGTGTAAGTGTATTGAAAGTTTGTTAACTGTCAATAGTTTTTGGATTTTGTCTAAGGCTATTATTCGTTACGGTTCGTCAGTTTCCTCGGTCCTGTGAGCTCAGTGTTGCCCTCTCACCGCCACCAGAGACCTAGAGGTAGCCATCAAAGTAGTGTTGAACTAGAGTCAAGTGTATTGGTGTGTATAATCATGTTCATGTACACGGCCATCTGCCTCTTCGTACAGAGTTGTGTTCACCTGTGTGAATTTACGTGTATGTGTACTCCCGCACAGTGTGAGTGAATGTGTTAGTGCAAGAGAGAAGACTATACAACACACTCTTGTTTGTGTGTATATATATATATATATATATGAAAATGTATAGAGCAACGCGCGTTTAAGTGAGCGAGCGACGTTGCCACAATTCTCTCTTTCGACGAAGGAGCGGGATTACGAACGAGAAACGTCCTTTCGAGTTTGTGTGAAAGAATATATTGTCGCGCCCCGAATTTTTCAAAGCTGTGTTATTATCAGCAACAGGGAAATTGATGCCATGAGACTACTTTTGAGAGGCCACGACAACACGTGAGAGAGGGGTCCTTAAGAAACAATCATGGGGAGGCCACGGTAAGTCTCTCTCTCTTTCTTTCTGCACTTTGTCTTCTTCTTATTAAGTGCAAATTTTCTCTGTTCGATATTATAAATATTTTTTTTTAGGTATGTTTTTTTAGGTTAGTGTCATTTCGTGTTTTCTTTCTTACTTTTGGTTTTTAGGTTAGGTTTAAACTTTTTTTTTATACTTAGACAATTTAGTCGTCCATTTACAAGTTTATCTAAAATATTGTGGGGGCTATATATAAACATAATGTAGGATTTCTAGCCCTAGTTTTGGTAATAAATCTATAAATAGATTTATCAATTAAAAAAATTATTTTTGGATATACTTTTATGGAAATGTGTCGGACTTGTGTAAATTAATTACGACTTTTTTTTATACATAATTTAACTTTGTTTTAAAAGAATTATTTTATTATTTAGCATAAAACGGTTTGTAAAATATTTACAAAAATATTGTCAATCAAAACAATGGCGAATTAAATGAAATTCGAGAATCGTGATATTTAATACAATAATAATTATGTACTATTAACACTGATTTATGAATTTTAATGTAATTATATATACACAGATTATTTTCGTATATTTAATATACAAATAATGCATTTATATGGCAACACATTAACGTCAAATTGTCAGTGATACCAATACAAGGGGTGGGAAAAGATACTGCACTCGGGGAATGAAACAGACACTAACACACACATATACGTGAAAATATTTGTGTGTGATTATAGATTGTAAAGTCGGAGAGTGAAACGGAGACAACGAGTCAAAGCAAGTGTCAGCTGTGTGTTAAAAAGGGGGATGCTTAACGGTGTGTAGGTGTGTGTGTATATATATATATATAAATGTGAGAGAGAGAGGGGTCTCTTTGGTTCCCCTTTTTCCCTTCTGCACCTATAAACGCCCATGTCATACTCGCACATGCATGCCGATGTGCCTCTCTTGTCCTTCTTGTAGGCTCTCTTTTCTATACATATTCTCCTCCTCTCTTCTCTATATGTATATATACCTTCTCGTCGCGAGACGTTTCGAACTCGCGCTCGATTCACACTAATCACGGAGTGGCGTCCTCGCCATTCGTGTTTTATTCGTCTTTCGTGTGCGCATTCGAGACATGCTTTTGCACGGTTTCGAGTCGATGCGACTCTCCCAACACTATTCCAGATACTTCTGGATTTATCATGTGATTCGCGTGGGCGAATATATATATATATATATATATATATATATATAATTGTAAAGCTTAAAAACCTTGAGGGAAAAGATAAAGACGAAAAATTATACCGATATATAGAACATAGAATATATATACAATATATAGAATATAGAACATATAGATTTCAATAGATTTAAAAGTGTGATGGTAAAAAAAACCGATCGCATGTTGTCAAAAAGTAATTAGAATCAAATCACAGAAAATTAAAAGGCATTAAAATAATAATTTTATTATTTTTATTATTATTATTATTTTAATCCCATTTTGCTTATTTTAATCCATTTTGGTATTAAAATAAGCAAAATTGGATTAAAATAATAAGCGTTGCAGCTTATTTTAATACCTTATATAATTTTCTGTGATAGTAAAGGGATGATTTACGTTAGGAAATTAGGCTGAAAAAATATAATATTATATTAGTATAATTTATATATAATATATATTAATTATTTATTTATATATTATTATTTAATAATAATATAATATTATATTATTAAATTATTATTTATTATTATTATTATTATTATTATTATTATTATTATTATTATTATTATTATTATTAATTATACTATAAAATATAATTATAGTAATTAGTGATGGAAATTATTTTATTACAATAAATGTTTATTTAATTCAAATATATATTATATTTGGTTCAAATAAAACATTTTTCCAGGTGCAATTAACAAAAAAAAATTTTTTTTTTTTTTGTAAACTGTCAAAAGTTTACGGTTATAGAAAAAGGAAAAATGATATACGGAAAAAAAGGTGAAAAAAGTAAGGAGGCAAATAAATAAAATAAATAGGAAAAGTGAAAACGAGGGTTGAAATTAGAATGGGAAAAAAGATCTTTACCATGTTTCGAATCAAGTTGATGGATAAACGTGTGTGTCTGTGTGTGTTTATCATTATTCAAGAAATATTTCTAGATGTCACAAGTTAACGGAGATGAATGACCAATAAGAATCCGATATTAATATAAAAAACATTTTTACACTTTGAGAACAAATTTTCGGAAAATAAAATCCCTCGATTTTTTTTTTATTTATTATTATTATTATTATTATTTTATTATTATTATTTTATTATTATTATTTTGTTATTATTATTTTATTATTATTATTTTATTATTATTTTTTTTTATTATTATTATTTTGTTATTATTATTTTATTATTATTATTTTTTATCATTTTTTTTTATTTTTTTGTATTTAAAAAAAAGAACCAAAATTCCTATTAAAATATAAATTCAGAATAATTATATATAAATTTCCAATATTGTCCCTGTGGCTAAATAATCTTTTTCTCTTTTAGAGACTAAATTAGAGGGTTTTTATCTATTTTATCTCTATTTTTTTCTTTCGTATAGATATTTTAGACGCCCTAGTACTATTTCCCCTCTTTCACACGTGTTTTTGTCCTTATGCACTAGAGTCACGTTCCGGATAAAATTCTCCCTTCCAAACCCCCACCGCCCCCTCTTTTTTTTTTCTCTTAAGGGGGCAATGCTCGCTATATGTGCACGCTTTCAAAAAGAAATAGAAGAAATTTACATTTATGAAATAAAGATCACAAATTTATTTATATTGCACTATCTTTTTTTTTTGAAAGTTTATTTGGAATAGAAATATACATTCTTCATTTTTTTTTTTTTGTGGTGGATTTGACACAATTTTGGACATATAATAGTGGCGGGGGGTGGGGGGCACACACCACTCAGTTCCATTTTAATCGGATATATTTTAATCCAAGCTTTAAGCCATTCGCGAACCCTATAAGCTAAGCCAAAGCACTGGACTCAGGATTTGTAATCTTCACTGACCTGGAAATACGAGGCCAGAAGCGTACTATTTTTCTTTTTTTTTTTTTCTTTTTCTTTATAATCATAAAATTATGAATTTAATTCGCTTTGTAAAATTATGGGATGATTAGAATTTCTTTTATATTCGTGTAAAATTACTCGTTCGTTAAATCTTGTAGAATAATTTATCTTATTTTTCTATGCCTACCGATTTTTCTGTTAGCTTGAAGATATATTTTTCTTTAACTCACATTTTCCCTCGCCGTTTTTATATTGGCGACTACAATTATCGTGGACAATGGATTTATCTTCCGTTTTATACCTGGTGGCATGGACAACTGTCAGTGTTGCTTCTCTGACCTTCACAAAGGGGGAGAAGAAGGAAGTTTAAAAAAAAATTCTATTGTGATAAATGGAAAAATTTTCTGGAAAAAAAAATATGAGAAATAGTAAATATTTTCCAAAATGTATAGTTGCTATTTTGTAATATGAAAGGAGATCAAAAAAAAAAGTGAATTTTGTTGAAGAAGAAAGGTACGAACTTTTTAGCATCTCACATAAAAATGGGCTATGACTCATCAGTGGCTTAATCTGGATTTGTTTCGTGGCAGGTTCATTGTACTTTGGTCTACGGGTATATAGCACATTATAACTCTTTCTATTTAATTTTGATTTTTGAATTCGAAATCTTTAATTTTTGGCGAAAAACTTTTTCTGCAATTTAGAATTTTTTCTATTTAAATATTTTTTGAGAGTAAGCGTGAATGACTATTTCGTGGAAGAAATGTCACCGACAAATTCTAGTGAATACAAAATTTATCTTGAAAAGATCAATCAATTTGATTCTAAGAATGAGATTTTTTATTTCAATTTTTTTTTCT